CATGCATATTTTTATGTTCATAATAATTATTGTTCCTAGGATTTGATTGCTCTTCGAATATATCTATATATTTTTTTTTCAACTTTTTCTCTTTTAATATAATTTAATGTACGAATACGAATGTTTTAATTTTATATTCGCACGAGTACAGTGTATTTATTTAAAAATTATTACATTTTATTTAAAATATACATTTCCCTCGATAATATAATTAGAATCGAAATTATCGTCTCGTAAAGAATATTTGGAAATTAATAAAATATCACGTCATTGCCAATTGGAATTTGCAAAAATCCAATGCGAAAAGTATCTTCACGTGCATAAAGTGGTCGGTATTTACCGTGTGACGTTTATTTGCATGCATATTGACGGAATAAATTACGAAATTATAGCACAAAACCGAATCCAGTCCCGATCGTCGCAAATGATATTCCCTCGAAACAAAATATACTAAAAAAACACATTGATTTTAAATCATTTATTTAAAACTTGCTTATGAAAATGTTCAATTTTAATTCTCTACCGATCGTTCGAGTTTTAATCGTTCATTTTCATATACATGGCACATCTAAAATCGTAATATAATGTGAAAACGATCCTTCGTGCAAAAATAACGTAAAATAATTTTTTACATAAGCCTTCATTTTCTCTTCAAAAATATCGACTATGCAAAGTTCCATGCATACATCTGAAAAATAATAATTAATTAATTAATTAAATCCATAAATGCAAAAGGGAAAGATTTTTTTGAAAACGAATAATTTGAAACCCTTTCTTTCAAATTATTCCATTCCACATTTTCTTTTTACTTTTAGGAATCTCCTCTTTTCGACTTTTAAAATTTACATCCCTATTTATCCAATCCACTGCCAAAAAATTAATAATTAATTAATCTTTAATTTGCAAATAAATCATCTTCCGAATGTTTTTTAATTTTGAAAAAATTACATCTAATTTCACGATACCTGAATACGCGAATCGAGCGCGGGTCAAAAGTAACCCGTCCAATCATCATCCACACTTGCCATTGTGTAATACAGAGCACGCAGTTCATCTCTCACACACGTCGGGAAATTCACACCATCGCCTCTGGATATTTGTTAACGATGACAATAGTTTAACCGTAATTTAAACGATCGTGGAAAACGCGTGACAGGCGACAAACGCGTATGATGTAATAACTTGCGGGATAAACCAAGAACCGTCCGTTTAATGGTTGTAATAAAGAAGAAAACGCGGGTGTGAATTATTGAATACCGCGTGGAATTCACCGTGAAGGGCTGAAAGAGGTTGTTCGAAAGCGAGGCCGTTAATAATGAAAGCGGCGCATTCCCGGTGTGTGTTTCGAGTCGCGGACCAAATTAATGTTTTAAACGAGAGAACGAGGGAACGTCGCTGCGTTGTCCGTTGACTTCCTCGCGCGCTTTTCGACTCGCCGCCCGTAATTAAAAAATGTACACGCGACTTTTTGGACGATCTAGCGACCGATAAATGCACGATATCGTACGGAAGAAGATGAAGAAAATTTGAGGATCGATATTGGGGAGAGAAACAATAATCGAGTAAATTGAAACTTCTCGAATATCAGCGTTTAAAATTCATATTTAAAAAATTGTATCGATATCGTGTGATATTAAAATATTCTGAAACTTTCAGTTTCAGAGGGACAAAAAAGATCCTCCAACTATTTCATCCCCATTTCTATCCAAACTATCATCCTCCTTATC